CATACAAATTTCAAGATTTCCCTTCAAAAGATATAAATCAAGAATGCCTTACTTTCATGCCTTGTTATTTGATGACAAAACATATAAACCGATAAACATTAGAAGATAAACGCCTTTCCCCATTTATGTGCTTATTTATTTATGCATATGTGATATGCACTTGCCATGAGGTCTGAGATGCATCACTAAGATTTTTGTACTACTGTTTTGGCTTTATAGCAATATGTGGCACAAATTTACTGCAATCTGTATGAGGAGGTAAAATGTGCAATTAATATTGCTTACCACTGCCATAATATCCCAGGTTGGTGATGCTGAGCAGGGAATAGGATGCCTTGACACAATTATCTTCCCAGCACTTCTCTGTACATCTCAAAAAGAGATTAATTTCTTACCCTGAAGTTGAGTAGAGTGTCTGTGACACACAAGTTTCTGTACTTGACAAATATCTATTCTAGAGATTGCTATTTTGGTCTTGAAATGTTATTTCAATTGCATCATAAGCTATAAAAGGATAAACTGAGAGAAACAAAAATTAGTATTTTGCATCCTTTAAATTTAGTTTTGATATCAACTTTCCAAGAAATGTTATTCTATCTGGCAAGTTCAAAATTGTTTACATTAGTTCCTTGCAAATACCAAAATTTTTCCTACTTGCATAGTATCAATGATATATTAATATTACTTAGAATTGGACGTTTGAGTGATATTTGCAGAACGACAGTGTTATATTCATACAGTCACTTCTTCCCTAATTTGGCTTTTCAATCATGTCAGTTGAGTAAAGTCGTTGTCATGAGCAATGACTCACTACACATGAAACATTTGCAACTTGGACCCACTTGCTTCAGAAAAAAAAAAAGTGAGCTATTAGCAAGATTTGAACTAATACAATAAATTTCACTAGTATCACAACACAGGAAACAAATTTCATTTCATACCAAATAAGTGAACTGAAGTAAATTCCTCCAAGTCTGAAAGGAAACCAGTCACAGTCACAAAGTGAGCTTCCCAAGATTCATTTCCTTTTGCACTTCAGTTTTAAAATCAATTTCTCCTTATTCTGTAACCATGTCTCCAAGTTCAAGATTGCCCCATGAATGGAAACATCTTCAACATCTACATTGTCAAGACCCATCAGCTTCTTCTAGGTTTCAATAAGATCACATCCACTCTTCCTCACTCTAACGAGTAAAAGCATAACCTGCTTAGCTGTTCTTGGTAAGACAACCTCTTCATCCCAGGAATCAACCAAGTGAACCTCTCTTGAACTATCTTTTTATTCATTTGTGGAACACGGGCATCCTCTAATGCCAGTATATTGTTTCTTTTAATATGGCGACCAAAACTGTATACTGTGTTTGTTGTGAATAGGAAATTAACAGAAGTCAGAAAATGAAGGACAACAGCAGTATTGGTTTCAGTTGTATTGTAGGAAATGCACGTAAATCTCTCAAATCAAGAAACCTTTTTTAAAAAAAAAAGCAGCACGCAAAACACTTGGCATTAGAGAGAAATAGGCATTGTCTTCATCACTAACAGTTTGAGAATTATTGGATCTTTTATCGTGAAGAGAAAGTAGCATGTTTGGGTAGAAGAATGCTGCCACCATTCCTCTGTCCTTGACAGGATTTAAAGGCTGATACAGCTTACAATCAACGTTCCATTGAAGCTGCACAGTTGCGGCATGGTGTTCCACGTATGGCCATTAGTTTCATCATGTCGACTGCAGGCAGTGGCTGCCACGCAGTGGCCTTGCAGACCCATCCAACTGCTAAGAAAATTAGAGGGAACATCGCTCACAACGGCAGAGGAATGACTACTAAGAGGAACTAGAAATCAATGCTTGCAATCGGCATGCTAAAACGTATGGTCATACATGGAACATTGAGCCGTAACTGCTCAGCTTCATTGTCAGCTAAATGGATCCTTATATCCAGTTCAGCATATCCCCGAACTACTTTACACAAAAATTAAAACTTTTTTTCCCAATTGTAATAAATCTGACAAAGACTCATTAATAATTCCAACAAATATTCTGTCTCTTATGAAAGCTCCATTTTACACTAATCTGTAGAGACCATTTATGAATTCGTATGCCAATTCTTCTGATGCCAAACTCTTCTGTCCAATTTAGCTCTTTCAAAAATGTAATTTATTCTCACAATTAAAATTAATTGTCAAAATCTATGCTCCAATACATTAGGTTTCTCGTCAAAACTCTAAGAGGAAAGGCTCCTACAGATCTTCGCTTCCTGCTGGAATCTACAACTGTGAGGTGGGACTAGCTTTTAGCTCATAACAACCCACACTGCTTCTTTCTTACAAGGTTTGTAATTGGGATTGAATTTCAAGTGCTACTTAAGAAAAGAATTTCAGAAGACTGAATTCTCAGCTATCAGAACTTTACCACCAGTCAGCAACTGCAAATTTGAACCGATGCACTCGGAATATTTGCCATTGCCTTTCCAACATCATCCCTTTAAATAATGCTCCCCAATCTATCATAGCCAAATTGTGTCTCGTACCATCGTAGCTTCCTCTATTTAGATTCAGGATCCCAGTCTCAGAATCACCTACATCACTCTCTGTCTTGAAGAAGAATTCTATCATATTACAGTCACTCATCCCCAAGAGGCCGCAAACCATTGGAACGCCTATTATTCATTTCTTGTTACACAATATCCAGTCTAGGACGGCCCGTGTTCCAGTTGGTTCCTCAATGCATTGGTCCAGATATCCTGTATTCACTCTAGGAGTTCCTCTTCTACGGTACTGTTATTAATTTTATTTCCCAATATATATGCAGATTCAAGTCACCCAAAATTACTGATCATCCTTTGTGGCAGGCATGTCTGATTTCCTGTTTAATGCCATTCCCAACATCACTCCTATAGTTTGAGGGTCTATATATTTTTATACATACACCATAGAAAGCATCCTATCCAGATGCATCACAGGTTGGTGTGGCAACTGCTCTATCCAAGACCGCAAGAAATTACAGAGTGTGAATGCAACCCAGAGCATCTTACAAACCAGCCTTCTTTCCATTGACTCCATTTTTATTTCCTGCTGCTTTGGCAAAGTAGCCAACGTAATCAAAGACCCCTCCTAACCCAGTCATACTCTTTTCCACACTCTTCTATCAGGCAGAAGATACAAAAGTTTGAAAACACATACCGACAGATTCAACAACAGCTTCTTCCCCGCTGTTATCAGACTTTGAACGGACCTCTCATATATGAGTTAGTTTTTCTCTGCAGCGCTAACCCTAAATTCTTCATTCTGTTCTATAACCCTAATTACTTATGTACGACATGGTTTGTCCAGATAGCACGCACAACAATACTTTTCACTGTATCACAGTACATGACAATAAAATAAAAATCAAGTCACTCTAACTAGCGACAATGGTCGCAATCCTGAGATCACTAACTTGAAGTCCTACTTTTCGACTTACTTCCTAAGTCTTATATTCTGCTGTTAGGAAGTTATCTTTTTGTTTTAAAGTGATGTCGTTTGTGCCAATGTGTATCACAACTGTTGGCTGTTCACCTTCCCTGTACAAGGTCTGTATCTGCTTTGGGACATCCTTGACCCTAGAATCAGGGAGGCAACATACCATCCTAGAATCTCATTTTCAGCCACAGAAATGCCTGTGTATTCCTCTTTTAATCGAACCCTCTATAACCATTGCATTCCCACATTTTTTACTCCTCTCCTGTGCAAAGCCAACCATGGTGCAAAAAATTTTGCTGTTGCTGCTTCATCCTCCCCCACAGCCGAAAGGCCAATCATTTCAGCAGGATCCAAATCAGTAGAGCTATTTTGCAGGGGAATAGCCACAGGAGACTCCTGCACTGCCTGCCTAGTCCTTTTCTCTGGCTAATGGTCACCCATTCCCTTCTTGCCGTTGGAGCCTTAGCCTGCGGTCTGTGCATCTCTCAATGTGCTAACCACGATACGCTCCACCTTGCCGATACTCCACAGTATCCCCAGCCATTGCTCCACCTCTGAATCCATGGCTTCCAGGGGTTGCAGCTGGAGACACTTCCTGCACACATGCTGGTCTCTGGCACTAGAAAATGTTCCTGACTTCCTGCATAGAGTGGGAAGAGCACACCACATCTTTCAGCTCTCCTAGCAATGATTCATTACCTTAAAAAGAGAAAAACAACTTTTTGGAAGATGCTTTATAGCAGATAATAACAATTATGCTAGGGCCCTTATTCCCTGGTCCTCATTATTAGGGAATACAAGTCCTTACAAACTACAAACTACAAGAAAAAAAAGGTAAAAAGCACCTTTTCCCTTCTACACCAAATTCTCATTGTGCTCCAAACCTTCAGAAACATATACTCACTCTGGCTGTGCTCTCTCTCAACTGCTCACACAATGCTTACTGACCAACATTAGCCTGGGTTTGTTGGATTACTAACCTAGATGACGTGACCACTATAGTACTGATTGAGTTACAACTCAATAAACAAGTTTTACTTTTAAAAACAACAACTAATCAAAGCAAAAGCTGAATCTTTCTTAGGAGGGAAAAGCAAAGATAGAAACTGCTGCAAAAACTCACTAGCTCTGGCAGCATCTGTGGAGAGAAATTAGAGTTACATTTTGGGTCCAGTTACCCTTCCTTAAAATTTTCGTAGGAGGTACACACTTTGACACAAAATGAAAATGTAGACAAATGTAGCATAATTGTTTGTCAAACCATTGGTATGCAGACATTAAAGAATAAAGTTAAACATAACAGAGAATGAAGAAAAGCTCCTTCAAAACACCCTTTTTTTTACATACAAGAAATTCTGCATTAAAATTGTACAATCATATGGCTTTAAATAGTAATAGGTTTCATGCATACTGGCATAATTTCAAATAAGGATCACATGAAAGCATCAAGGTTCTGCTGATGTCAGCTTACTCAGACGTTATTGCAAATCTATTGTGCTACAAGCAAGATCCAGATCATTATAATTTTAAATCAAACTCACATGCAGCATTGTGGGTTCCGGCAGAAAATCCACATCTTCTCCAAAGATGAAATCTGGAGGCAGATCTGGGTAGTGACAGTTGAAAATAATGTCCCCTTGACAAAACAACCAAAAGCTACAATTTATCATTATTATTCATGATTAAAACATACAAATAACCTTTGCTAAATCACAAACTACAAATAATTTGCAGTTAACTCTGAATAATTGCTTCCAGTAAAGCAAAACACGCTTTGTCAGACTGGCTAGTTTAAAAAAAAAATGTTTTTTTTTCCCTAATGAGTTCCCTGCTGTCTTCAAGATGTAGGGCAAAACTCCACAATTATCCTGAGACAGCTCACGGCATGTTTCCTTTGTTCACATGAGCACTTTGACAGTATTACAGACAGACATTCAGCTCTGGGGCCAAAACTGAATTTAATGCTAACACTGGATGTGAAATTCAGCAAAGCTAATGGACAGGGTTCAGAAATGGAAACCATGGCCAATTTCTGCTCCCAGAGGCATGGAGCTCAACTCCAGCTCCCTTGCTATCACTTTGGTTGAGATCAATAAAATTCATCACAAAATGGAGGGTTGAGCCTTTGTTCACCCCGATTTGTGTAGCTAGCCACTGGGGAGACATATTTGCTAAGGCAGCCAAGTGGTTTGTGATCTACTAAAATTGCAGCTGCAACAAAAGACTTTCAGTAGAATCACACAGTACAGAAGAGGCCTTTCTGCCCATTAAGTCCACACTGACAAAAACTACTTTCCAGCATTTAGCCCATAGCCTTGAATGTTATGATATTTCAAGTGCTCACCCAAGCACTTACACAGGTCCAAAGATTTCCCTCAATTACTCTCCCAGAAAAAGCATTCTAGATTTCCACCACCCTCTGGGTGAAAAATGCTTTTTTTCCAAATCCCCTCAAAACCTCCTGCTATTCACCTCAAAATGATGCCTCCTCATTATCGACCCTCTGCACCCTTCCAATGCAATCACATTTTCCTGAGGTGATGTGACCAGAACCACACACATTCCCATTGTGCTGCCCAGTCAAATGATATAATACTGTGTCATAAAAGAAAATAATGAAATTGAAATAAACCAAGCAAGATATAGGACACAGTTTGAAAGGTCTTAAAATATATATCAAAAGAAAGTCTAATTTTTCTCCAATATCAGCATTCTATAGTGATTCAAATCCTAAGAAATTATCCGTCCATATCAAATCTTTACGTTTGATTGAACTGCTTCATCCCAGTTATACCCTGTGAAATGTTGAGTCTTCTGATAAAATTACTCGTGTAACGAAAAGTTCAGATTTTCTTGATAACATAGAATCATAGAATCCCTACAGTGTGGAAGCAGGCAATTCGGTCCATCAAGTCCACACCAAACCTCCAAAGAGCATACCACCCAGACCCACACCCCGTACTCTATCATTCCCATGGCTAACCCACGTAGCCCGCACATCCCCGGACACTATGGGGAAATTTAGCATAGCCAATCCACTTAACTTGCTCATCTTTGGACGTGGGAGGAAACTGAAGCACCTGGAATAAACCCACACAGACACGGGAGAATGTCTACATGGAGTTTGCACAGTCACCCAAGGGTGGAATCGAACCTGGGTCCAAGGCACTGTGGAGGCAGCAGTGCTAACCACTGAACTACCATGTTGTCCCCAACCTGGGTCCCTGGCGTTGTGAAGCAGCACTGCTAACTACTGAACCACCGTGCCGAATAACTTCCAATAAATAATTTATCAATTTTAAACCAAACACTCCTGTCTGAAAACTTCACAATCTAAATTTTTACATCAAGCTAAGTGAATTTTACCTGAACTCTTTTTCCTAGAAAAGAGAGTTTTCCTTTTGACCCTGGCTGGTATCATCCAAAACTGCACTAAACGCTTCAATTTTTGAGTTTTTCCTCCGCCAAATTCAATCCTTTATTATTCTAAACCAAAACAAAGTTAATGCCTTCATAAATCCCACAACATCAACAATCTTCTATTAGCACTCCAAGGGCTTGCAGATACCAGCTCTTAGACACATACTGGATTACATTAGTATTCTCAAAAAGAATCTCTGTCCTTGATTTCTTTTATTTAAGAGAACTCTTTACAAAAAGTAATCAACACCCATATACCACTAGTTTGAAATCCAAACTCTTAGAAATAATTTTGTGTTACGTATTTCATCATACAACCATAATCGCTACTCCCAATTTTGTTGGATATCTACCAATAATCCCTCCCTGACTCAACACTGCTTCTAATTCCACTCCCAGCTGACAGGACTGCCTTTTCCACCAACACCACTCACATGGCTTCCTCAGACTTACTGCAAGTCTTGATTGAGTTTTTTTTGAGGACATAACCAAGAAGATAGATGAGGGAGGGCGGCAGACGTTGTCTACATGAACTTTAGCAAGGCCTTTGAAAAGGTTCCGCATGGTAAACTGGTGAGTAAAGTTGGATCACATGGTATCTAGGAGAGCTAGACAATTGGATACAAAATTGGCTTGATGGTAGTAGATAGAGTGGTGGTAGAGGGTAGTTTTTCAGACTGAAGGCCTGTGACCAGTGATGTTCCTAAGGAATTGATGCTAGGATCACTGTTGTTTGGCATTTACGTAAACAACTTGGATGAGAATATAGGAAGCATGACTAGTAAGTTTGCAAGTGATACTAAAATAGGTACATCTACAATGCTATTAGGGAAATTCCAGAATTTTAAGCCAAAGAAGAAACAGTGATATATTTCCATGTAGGGGTGGTGTTTGGCTTGGAGAGGAACATGCAAGTGGTGGTATTCCCACATACCCCGTGCTCTTCTAAATGCCAGTGTTCGTGAAATTGGAAGGTGCTGTCTAAGGAGCCTTGTTAAATTTTTGCAGTGCATTCTGCCGTTAGTACTCATTGCTGCTACTGTCAGTGGTGGAGGGAATGGAAGTTTGAGGATATGGTTTCAATCAAGTTTCTTTGTCCTCAGTGGTGGCAAGCTTCTTGACAGTCATTAGAGCTGCAATCATCCAGACAAGTGGAAGTATTCAATCACACTTTTTACTTGTACATTATAGATGGTGAACAGGCATTTTGGATTCAGGAGATGAGGTACTCGCTGTAGAATTCCTAGCTGCTGACTTGTCCTTTTTGCCATTATATTTATATAGCTGGTCCAACTCAGGATCTGGCTGATAGTAATTCCAGAATGTTGTTTGTGGGCAATTCAGCAATGGTAATGCCACTTGAAATTCAATGGCAGTGGAGACTGTCATTGCCTGGAATTTGTGTGGCATGAATGTTACATACTACTTGTCATTACCTGGATATTGTCTATGTCTTGCTGCATTTGGACATGGACTCCTTGAGTTTCTGAGGAGTCACAAATGGTGCAGAACACTGCACAGTGAGTACCCCCACTTCTGACCTGATAATGGAGCAAAGATCATTGATGTAAATAGCTGAAAATGCTTTATTTGATTTATTGTCACGTGTACCTGACTACAGTGAAAAGCTTTGTTTGCTAGCAATACAGGCAGATCATTGTAAGCAAGGACATACAGATCACAGGGTGAAAAAAACTTGTAGAGTAAGGCATACAGATTATACTGCACAGGATGTGCACGAGGCGAGATCAACATTAACAAGATCAATGAAGATAGACAACTGCACCTCCTCCAAGATAACACTCAACATTGGAGCCTCCCAAGAATGCGTTCTCAGCCCCTTACTGTATTCCTTGCACCCACAGCTGTGTTGCCAAATTCCAAATGAATGCCATCTAGTAGCTTACTGACTACACCAACGTGGTAGGACTGATATCAAACAATGAGTCAGAATATAGAAAAGAGATAGAGGGTTTGGTAACATGGTGATAACCTCTTTTCCAATGGTGGCAAAACTAAAGAACTGATCATTGACTTCAGAAAGAAAAGGAGGAGAACACACCCCAACTACATCAATCACGCAGAAGTGGAGAAGGTTGAGAGCGTCATGTTCTTAGGAGTGATGATCACCAATAAACTGTCCTGGACTTCCCACGTAGATGCGATGGTCAAAAAGACACAACGACACCTCCTCTTCCTCAGGTGGCTCAGGAAATTTGATATGTCTATAAAGGGCCCTCACCAACCTTTACAGATGCACCATAGAAAGCATACTGTCTGGGTGCATAACGGCCTGGTACAGCAACTACACTGCCCAGACCATCACGGAAGCCAACCTCCCATCCATAGACTCCATTTACACATACTGGTTGAGCCTTAGACTCTGCCCCGAGGAACTGGAAGGCTCGTGTCACATTGGCAGTGTCCCTACCTCTGCACCAGGAGACTTGGGTTCAAGTCCAACCTTCTCCAGGGGTGTAGAATAACATCTCTCAACAGATTGTTTCATAAATAATCAACCCGAAGGATCACTGTAAAGATACCCTGGAGCTGAGATGACTGACCTCCAAAAATCACAACTATTGAACATAAGAACATAAGAACTAGGAGCAGGAGTAGGCCGTCCGGCCCTTCGAGCCTGCTCCGCCATTCAATAAGATCATGGCTGATCTATTCGCGGACTCAGATCCACTTACCCGCGTTCTCACCGTATTCCTTACTTCCTTTATTGTTCAAAAAAAATCTACCTCATCTTTAAAAACGTTTACTGAAGTAGCGTCAACTACTTCACTGGGCAAGGAATTCCTCTGGGTGAAGAAATTCCTTCTCAATTCAGTTGAACTTTGCGCCGAGTAGGACTCCAAAACGGAGGAGAGTTTCCCCTCCTGATTCCTCTGGGCATCGGTTTTGCGTGATCCACACTCTGTCAAATTTGACAGCATTTGAGCAGTCAAGCGCAGTCACTTTCATCTCATCTCTAGAACTGAGCTCCTTTGTCAGTGTTTGAAATAATGTTCCAACAAGGTCTGGTGCTGAGTGGCCCACTCAAAAGGAGAGTGAGTGGGTGATTGCTAAGCAAGTGCAACTGACTCTTACCATTACTTAGCTGATGATCAAGAGTAGACAGATAGTGTGGTGTTTCGCCAGGTTGGATTTATCTGGCTTGTGTGTACAGGACATTCCTGGGCTATTTTCCACATTGTTGGGTAGATGCCA